AATAGAATAATGCACAATAAATAGTACATGGAACTGTACAAATGCTACGGATTATAGTAGGATCAGGGAGATAATGCCTAAGGGATTACTTTTTCTTTTCCTAAAATTATTTTTCAATCTAATTTAAAACCTGATTCTGTTTTGTTGAAATCAAGGTGAGGTTTTCCTTTGTATTTAATGGATTCTGGAACAGGCTGTTAACAAATGCAAACTGGTCACTCCTTGAAGAATGAAACCTAATTGTTCTCAGAATAGATGCACCATTTGCACTGAAGCTCTGTGTTTTCAGAGTGTTTTGTAAGTGTATTTTTTTTCTTCTCTGAGGCCTGGTTTTGAGATATGCAAGGTTAGCTCATCTTCATTTCACTTTCCCTTGGCTTCCTTTGCTAAGATTGACAGCTGAGGAAAAATCCACTGATAGCTTTTGTTATCAGCATGCACATCTCCCTTACAGCTGTACCAAGGCTGCTGACTAATTGCCACACAAGAATTACCACCCAGAACTGAAGTGGCCAGAAGTAACGACAAAGCCATGCCTGTCTCTGTTTGTCTGTCTCCCTGCTTTTTGTGTTTTGATTTTTAAATTTGGATGGCAAAGAGCATACATCTCACAGGTGATACTGTCTCAGAGTGATCCTATCTCTTCTTAACCATTGTGAGCCATTTGAGGAAAATCAAGTTGGCTTTATAGACTAGGAAGAAAAAAATACACTGAAGAGGGCTTTGGTGTTATTAAAGTGTATGCTCCAAGTTCAGCATGTGCTTACACTTCATTTTTAAATTTGGTTACCATCCTGAACTGATTTCCAATTCAGACTTTGACGTCTGTTACTGGAATTTTACATTTGTGGTTTTTGTCTCCCCTCTTTTAGAGACATTTTTTAGCTTAAGTGTTGGCAAAATCTTATTATCAGTAAATGGCTCTAGTAATGTGAAATTGGAAAGCATGTTAAAATTCCTACTACAGAATCTTACTGATTACTCTGTGGTTATCTAGTTATTTATTTATATACTTTGTCAGCCCAGTGTGCTTGGTTCAAAACACAGGAAAAATATGGTGTTTAATACAAATAACGCTTATTGGCTAAATAATGTACATTTGAAGAACAGAAAGAGAGAAAAGAGTGGCCAGATAACGTCTGAAAGCAGCAGAAGAAAATACAGATACATTGGAGATAGCTGAATTGCTAAGAAAGTAAGTACATTCAATCAGTTGCTCTCTATTGGCTTGAGGGTAATCTCTGCCATACTACAACACACTGATTTATGGACTAATTAGTTGTACAAAACAAAAATATTTAGAGAAAATATTTCTCTCAAGCAGTCAGCAAAACAACTAAACAATAGGAAAATGGATTTTGTGTATTAAAAAATTAAATTCAATATATATTTATGAGCCTATTCAAGATGTAGAGTCTTTTTGCTACCAGATTTCCAGTAAGCAAGAAATATCTATGTATCAAAATCTAATTGGGTCAGTATATAGACATTCCTAGAAGAAATTAAATGCCTAAGCTATAGGTATTTCAAGTCATAAAAGCTATTATATGTATTTATCAAGGCATAATATTATTATTATGTGAGCTCTAATATAACCAGTTAAATAAAAATCAGACAAGGAGGGGGAAAAGAAAACCCATAATATCATTATTTTGGAAGAGAATTGTAGTGCTCCGCTGTTTTTCTGTATGCATGTCTTTTAATTTATCAGACTGTTAAAATGCTTGCAATTACTTTGACTCATATATAACATCCCTTCACAAAACAGTACTTGTGGTTTCTTTCTAGTCTTGAACTGAAGTGCAAAAGAGAAAAAAACAGACCAGCAGAATTGCATGTGTGAGTTAAATATCACAACATTGAAACTCCAATGTTTTGGGAGGTGCAATGTAAAATAGACTTGGATGGGATAATCTGAAGTAAGTGGGTGGCAAAAAGATGCAGATGGGCGGCTATTTAACTTCAGATTTGTGTAATTTGGATGGAGTAGGGAACTGTAGGTCTCAGTACTTATTGCGGTGGACGAGGTGTCAAAATTAATCTCTTTTTCTGTAATTGAGTTTGTAAGTCTCTCAGCATCTTCAAGCTTCAGTCCTTACGAATAAAATGGAAATAACATACTTCCTTGCTTTGCAGTAGTGTCATGAGGCTAACCTCAGTACGGTCTGGGAGATATTCTGATGTTAGATATTGTCAGTAAATGAGAAAACTGTCAAAAAATTGTTCAGCACTCCATCTACATAGTTTAGTCATCGTTCCTTACATCCTACTCAACGAGAGAATTGTACAAGTCGTTGTGCCTCTATCAGATCTGGGAAGGCAGAGGAGCACTGCCAAAATTAATTCATAGGTACCAATCCACCTACTTAGTGCCTGTGGGAGATTTGCAGAGCAAAGGAAGAAAAATAATTTATGAGGGCATAGAAAAAACCCTGACATGAGGGAAGAAAGAAAGCAAGCTGGAGTATGGCAAAAGAAAGCAGTATAATAAATGTAACTACCAGGGTGTTATACATGTCAGCTCCCCCTCCTTCCAAGCAACAGTAATTAGAGTTAAGAGCTGTTAACAAGACATGCATCAAATGAGTCAGTGCATCCAGAGCCTTTCAGTCCCTTCCTGTATGTGGTGACTGCAGATGTCAATAGAAGGAAAAATATTCTCTTCTGAACACATTTAATTTTCTATGTCCTCATAAAAATTACTTTTAGAGATTTCAGAGGTGTGTGGCAAAGAGCCATGTAACTGCTGGCTTTACACAGATTGAGGCAAGGGGATTCCTCCTGCAATGTGCTTACTGTGCTATGGCCTGAGCCAGGCTTGTGATGTGTGGAAAAAACATCTGCTCCATGAACATCTGGACTAGATGGCCAGACTTGTGTGAAGTGAACAGCTGGAGCAAAGACAAAGCAGAGGTGCTGAGGGGCCTGGGCTCTTCCAGCAGGTAAGAGAGCAGAGTATCACCCAGACACAAGGGGAAACCCTCAAGTGAAGACTTGTCTGTGTGAGGCTCAAGTTCTGTGATTTCCAAATCAAGGGATTACAATGCTAAAATCTGTGCCTACAGATTTGTAAGCATGTATGTAGTGCCTAGGCTGGCTTTTCCCTGAGATCTGGCATATTTTTAGTCTGGGCATGGCTTATGTTCTCTTTCTTTTCCTGGTGTTGGGTTTTCCTCATTTTACAATACTGTAAGTCTTGATAAAAGTGGACTTTGCTTTGTTTCCCTCTGGATTCCAGTACCTTTCATGTACACTTCTGTTTGCATTGAGGTAAAATTTGTGTCTGATGAGTAGTAAGAACAACACTTTTAGTTCTGCTTCATCTTGATCTTGCTGGTCTGCATCTTCAGTAACCTGTTTCTGCTGCATGGGCTCCAACATTCATTTCTGTGTTTAACCTTTAAAGTTTCTACACTGTGAAGCTGAAAACCTTGTTTAATATTTGAATTGCATTTCCTGTGAATGATTTTCAGTGCTGTTAGATGAGCGAATCTCAACCTCTGTATGTGACTGTCGTTATATTTTAGCTTACTGGTATTTGGCATACATAGCTTTTAGCTGGACATGTATTTTGCAGGTCAGTTTTGAAAGAAGAATGTAATACACTTGCTCTGCATAAAGTCAGTAAAACCAGCAACAAGTAAACAATATAATTTATTTGAGTACTTGCCTAAATTTTTTAGTGCATTTTGGTATATACATTAAATTCTCCTGCAATTAAGATGATGACTATTAAGTTATAGAAAGTAATTTGAGATATCATGATAGTTAAAACCATGACTGTTATCATTAATTTACGAACAACTATATGTTGTTTATTCTCATTAAAATACCAGTACAGGAATACTATCTTTTTTATGACCTCGGTATTCATAATTCTTGATAAAGTGAAGAAAGAATGAAGTTAGTAAGAATAGTTACCTGTTCAGGCAAGGAATAATTTCACACCATTTAGGATACATCTGTGTCTTGCTTGTTACTTGTGAGAACAAATTTGGTTTGATCCTCATTGTAAAATGAGGAGGTGTGAAGTTGTATTTTCTGATTAGAAATATAGGTTATGCATCAAAATACTATGTTATGTGTATACTAATGCTATACATAGTGGTAGTTGTAACCAAAGCTACAAAGAAGTTTTCAATACTCTTGTAGTGTAGCACTATTCACATTCGCTGTGCTGCAAAGCTTGAATGTGGTGAATTTATTCCTTGGCTTTGCCAGCTGCTTCTTGGGCTCTTTCAGGCAACTTAATTTACCTCTCTGAATCAGTCTCTTCATCTCTGTTAAAAGATACCTGAAGTATCTGAACATTTACAGACTACAGAGAATAAAAGTCTAGCCCTATTGTATCTTTGAGAGTTTTTGAAGTATCTCACTTGTGATAAATGGAAGTGCTTTCACTTTGAGTGTCATTAGAATCTTGTAAGAATGACTTAACCTTGTATTTATTTAGTTAATACCAAGCAAATACATTTTTTCTTTTAATGTGTTTGCACAATCCAGTCAAAGGGACCCAAGCCTTTGAAGGAGATTTCTTGGTATTGTCAACTGCAAACAACTAATACAGGCAGCAGCCACTACTTTTGCATCTACAATTATTTTCAGGTGCAAGGTGAGCCATGTTCCCAGTAGATGTACAAGGCTTGGAATGTTTTCATTGATCTGTTCAGGTAACACTGAATACAGCCACTTAGAGATGTGAAAGCGTCAGCTAGATCAAGGCTTCTTAAAACCAGGGAACTTAGAATATGGCTTACACAAACTGTCAGGGTAAGGGCCTGAATGATCTATATCTCATCAGGTAGTTTAATGGAGGAATGGTGTGGCACTTCTGAATGCAGAGAATGTGTTAATCTCAAAACAATATCCTAACCAGAAAAATTTATTCAAAAAAACACATTAATTTAATGGAGCTAAATCAGAGGATCAGAGGGGTTTTTTTGTTAATTCATGAGAAGTCATGTTCATATATATAAACATTAGATTTTATTTATTCTTGGATGTCACAAATACTTGCAGAGAGTACTTGAGTGAAAATTACACTATATGAGAAATGGAAAATACTCATCCCAAACCAGTCCCATTTTCTCAAGGCAGACAAGCATAGCCCCAGAACCCATCTCTGCCCGTCTTTGCCATCCTAGAAAACACTGCCATTACTTCAGTTTCTCAACAGTTTGCTTCTAATACCAGAAGTGTATTTCCAGTGGCAACAGTAGACTTGAGCATGTGTCCAGCAGCTGCACTGGGCAGCACTGTGTGGTGGAGGTGTCTTGGAAGTGGCACAAGCACATCTGCAAACAGCTGCCAAGGCTTTGAGGGGAGAGTGGTGCCTGCCGTGTCCCCATGTGAGACGTGTCCCCATTCCAGGCCCACACCCTGCTGGGAGGCTTTCCCTAACTGGGCTGGCACTTTGGTTCCCTCCCATACATCCCATGGTGTGATCTTTATCCCAGTCCTCCTCAGAGAAGAGCACTGGATAGCAATGTGTGCAGAAACTCAAGCCCCAAGCCTTTACAATCTGTTGCATAAATTAGCCTTCCCTGTTCTATTTGAGGCCGTAAAAAGTCTCAAGCAGTATTTCATTGTCGGTATGTTTGTGTCTGTATAGATAATGATGGCCAGAAAACAATTAAGGGAAACATATGCTTTGTACTGGAATTTTATCTGTTGTGTATTATGGCAAAATGGTGTCTTGGTGAACATACTGCTCTGGTGATGAACTTTCATTTCATTAAATGAAATGCACCATATGGTGCAAAATGCTGCCTCTCTACTTGTTTGTTTTGCATATACTTATAGCCTCTTCTTTTTGACACTCTGTGAGGGTGGGAAAGGTATTGTTGGTTAATATAAAATTTCTAATTTATAATACTAGATCTGCATTGTAGCGGATAAATGTTTGCATCCATAAATAATTAAATGTACAGTTTTTCTTGGGAATGAATTATGTCTTAATATTTACATCTGTAACTTTGCATTTGCAAGGACAAACATGAATGCTAGGCTGAAGGTTGCCTGAAAATCTGGTCTTGCATATTCTATGAAAAATATTACTCACATTTCTCTCAGGTGAATAAACTGCACGCATGGATGAATCTAGTTAATTCAATGGTTTTAATAAACCTAGAATCCCAATGAGGTTATAACAAATCCCCCTGGTGTCTTGGAGTGATGAGAAAGATGTATAAAATTATATGCAAGCAGAAGAACTCTTTCTAAATTTGAAGAGTCTTTTGCACATTATTTTTTTTCCCTGTTCACTACATGAAATAACTTCTCACTGGTGGCTCCGTCATAATAAAGTATTAGATCAATTATTTTTTTGAAGGCAACATCTGGGGTCAATTTGCATTTGACTAAATTTTTTTTTCCATTTGGATAGTTTGTTTTTGAAACAATTAGGTAGCAGGAAGACAGGTGCCTCTCTCTTAACTTCCCTGTGTTAAAGATGGTTGGTGTGAAGTGGAAATATCTGCAGTTCTATTTTCAGGGAGAAGCACCTTGCCCCATTTTCAGATGTTAAACATGTGGATCCGGGATCAGAACCAATTCTCCAGGTACAAACACAGGAATACCAAGTTGACTAGGAGTGACTGATTTAGCAAAGCAGCTGGAACTAATATAACTGAATAAATCTATGATGAGTGCTAGTTTTAGGGTCACTGTACTCTGACCTGTTATCTGGACAACTCAGCAATCTGAAGCCTGGTCAGAAACTTTCCAGGAAAGAAGTATCAGGCAGAAAATTATAATTTCATAGTAGGTTTCTTTTGCTGTTTTGATACAGAAGCAAAATCGTAGCCTAGGGATTGGGTTGGCCTTTTTCAGTATCATGAATGTGTTGCTATTTTACAGGCATTTGCAGGGAGAGGATACCCAGTCCAAGAAACCTCAATATGTTGGAAGGGGTCTATGTTTTCTGGTGAAAAATAAAACAGATGCTGCGACTGCACGTTATCATGGAGAGATCCTACTGCATGCTCAGGAAAAGGAATCTGTTGTTTTTCACAGCTTCTGAAGTGGGGAACAAGTTCTGCCTTCATTTTACACCAAGTTAAGTAAAAGATTGCAGGTAAAGTAATGCTGAGCGCTGTAATCGCTCTCAAAGATGCACACATAATTTTAGAAATATACCTGGAATACAGTAGCAGAAACTTACACTCAAATTTTCATTTAGTAAAGTTTAGAGGAAAAAATAATGAAGCTGAAGAAAAGCACGGTTGATAAGATTTTTCCACTGAATGTATTCCTGTAAAAAATGGTAATTTTATTAACAGGTAAAGGAGGATAAAATGCACAAAATAGTATCTAAATACGTGAAAAGCCATATACTCTGCCCTGGTTTAAAAGATCTCAAGTATATGAAATTGAAATGTAGCTAAGTTGATTGTGATCTTATATTCATTACTCTTCAGCACTGCTGGCAGAATCCCTTCTAACCAAATGAGCACAACATGCTCACTTAGCACTTTCACAAAGCCTTGAGTTTATAATCACAATTAAAGCACTTCTTTTGCAATAATTACACAATCTGAATTGGTCTGTGGTAATAGAAGAAAATTTTAATTCCCCGTCTTATATCAGAAATCCACTTAGTTTTAGGTAGTCTCCAGCTCTGTTATGTCACCTGTATTAACATTTATATTCCTCACTGAGTCTGCTCAGTGTCCTCTTCTGTTTTCATGAACATACTTCTAAAACATACCTGCAATCTCACGTAGGCATGGCTGGCAACCAGCAGAGCACTCCATTGCTCTCTGCCTTACCTTATTTAGCCCACAAATGAGTGCAAGTGTGAACAGCAAACTTGGTACATGATGGAGGGTCAGGGCGACAGCCTGAAGAGGCAGCAGCTTGATGTCATCAGCATCTTTATAGTATTCTTTTAGAATCCTATTTCTTTTTAGAAATGAAGACCTGGTTTCCCTACCCACTTTTGGAGGCTGGGTTCTGTCCTGCAAAACTTGCTTCCTCAGCGGAAAGAGGTTCTCCAAGAAAGCAGTGCCCTAAATTCTGCAGTTCACCATTTGAAAGAGGCAGCCAGGTAGAATTTATTTCTCTCAGGAGTTTTTCTTTTGCTGATTAATTGTTTTCTACACTAGGCTATTATGTTGGTAAAATATTTATAACCATTATGATGAAAATTGCCAGGAAATGAATTCACACAGTCCTGCTACCTTCAGAAATTTTTTTTTCCCAGGACTTTGAAACACTGCTGTGGTTTTGGCTTGCCTCTCTAGTCCTGCTATTCTTTTCTGTCACACTCAGTAATTGGCCTAATAAAAGGCAGTAACAAGAATTTATTACACCTTGGGCGATACTTGAAACAAACTTTATTTGCTGGAGCAGCACTTTTTATCTACTCGCTGCTGTATATTTTGACAGTCTTTCTAAATATTAAATCTGACTTTATTAAAAGTTAAATCTTGGTGCTTTTTTGTGATTGCTGCTGTTTTTGCAGTTTCTTAAGCAGAATAGTACATATATAAACATATCTTTTTAATGAAGCTTTTGGAGAAATAATGTAAGCTGTAGATCTATCTGCTTATTGCCAGAGTCCACAAAAAAGGAATGAATTAAAGACTAGCTTCTATGATATTAGAATTTAGTTTTGGAATTTAATGTATGTGATTAATTGAGAGAACAAAGATGCGAACTTTTCAGAGCTTTTTCAAGGTTCAGATTTGATGAAATCTTCCTTGGGCAAATGATGCCCTTAACATTTTAAGTTCACAAAGTAACAGCAGTAAAATTAAAGCGAGATTAGATTGCTGTGATGTAATTTCCACTTTTAAATCTGGGTTTCCTCCAGATACTGAATGGTAAAACCATAAACTTTTTTTGTTTGTTTGCTTTCTAAAAAGGCCTTAAGAAAGAGCAGTAAGTCATACTGGAACTGTTTATGCAGGAATTTTATTCTTTGAAATTTTCCAGTGTTAAAGCAACAAGAAAACATTTATAATGTCCTTTGGTGGAATCTTATTACACTTGTTATATATGTAAACTGATATTCTTTGATGCCAGCACGTTGCCCATACAGAGAAATCTCTGCACAATTAAATGAAAGGAAAAAGAAAAGGACTAAATAAAAAGTAATAGTTTTCTCTTACCTGATTAGAATTAAATACATTAATAAATTGTCTGGTAACACAAATAGGCAATAATACAAAAAATCTACATTGTACATTATTTCAAGAAAAATAACTTCATTTGAATACAAAAGGATAAATACACTTTTTGTCCTATAGCCACTCTTGTACAGTAGGTGAACACAGCATCTTACTGATGCAGTGCTGCTAAGGTATACAAGGATATGACTGGCTCGAGTTGTATTGAGGGGGCTGTTACACATGTGCATCACTAACATCAGACAAAGAAATCTTTCAACCAACAAGGGTTACAGAGCAACGTTCACTAAAGCACAGGTTGGAAAGGATTCGGGGACTGAAGCAGGCCAATATGGCAGCTTTTACAGATTTCCTTATACCCACAATGCACTGACAGCAAAGAATGCCTTGGTTTGGTCAGTCCACACACCGGGCGGAGGTACAGGAGCGCACCAGAGAGGAGGAGCGGATGTCGTTGGGGTTCTGGGCTGTCAAAGCCATGTCAGTCCCGCAGCCGATCGATCTGACAGAGCAGGCGGCTGCCAGCGTGTCTGGAGGCAGAGGGGAGCAGTGTCCGCTCGCAGCCCTGTCCGTGACTGAGTGATATGGCTTAGTTCAGTTCGGCCTTCCTAGTTCGTGTGGTTATTTTGACTGTGTTTTCCTTTAGGGATTCCAGTGGCGAACGCCGGGGTTCTGTCCCGTTCCCGCGGCCCGGGGCCGTGCACAGTCCGGGTGTGAGGCCCGAGGCGCGGCCTCAGCAGCCCCGGGGCGGGCGGGCCGCGAGCAGCGCCAGCAGCGGCAGCAGGAGGAGCCGCGGGCCGGGCCCCGCTCCCGCCCGGCCCGGGGCCGAGCTGCGGCCGCCGCAGCCGCCCGGCTCCCGCTCGCAGCGCAGCTTCTCGCACAGGATGCCCGTGTAGGCCGGCGGGCACTGGCACCGCACGTTGTTGATGCAGGTCCCGCCGTTCTGGCAGTGCAGGAGCTCATTGTCACACACGTTCGCTGCAAGACACCGGGGGAAGGGGGACAGAAGAGAGAGCAGTGTAAGTTTGTTTTCAGCAGAAATTCACCAGAACCAGAACTGAGGCTCCACCTCCCTCCTCTTCCTGAGACATATAAGGGACTCTTCCTTTGCAAATACTAGGATTCTTTTTTTTCCCCTAAAGACTGTATTCTTGGAAAACCATCGAATTCACTTAACACCACTGACTAAAGTATTGATTAATTTTATATAAAGGACTATTTAATAATGAAATAATAAGAATTTTAATACGTGCCTTGTGCTAATGTCTGCATTGTTATTACTGAACTGGAACTGTAGGTTGTGTGTGCTATATGAAAGGGGCAATGTGTCTAGAGCTTTTGGAAACCACGAACAGTGGTTAAAAATGCAATGTGGCTTTGCTGAAGTAAAAAGATCTGCATGAGAGGGAAGGTTTTATAATCAAGAACTACATGTATTAGTGATCTGAAAAAATTGTGCAAAAAAAATAAGGCAAGCACAGGCAGGAAATTCAGCATGCTGTTGGATGGGGATTATAGGGTACAGACATGTGGAAATAAAAGATAATGTGATGTCCATTATAGATCAAATATTTCATTCTAATTAGATTTGCTGCTTTGGTATATGGCATCTTAAAGCTATCTCAGATATCTTAGATATTGTAGCCTGATAATAACTTCAGAAATCAGATTTGACAAGGGAGTTAGGAGACAATAATACAGGCAAAACTTTTAGACATGCATAATATTATAGTATTTGAAAAGCTGACAGCTTTACTTTGTATTGCTTAATACAAAATCAAATATTTCATGAGTGACAATGCAGAGGTATGAGCAACATACTAATTAAATGTGTCAATCTGTGTTTTATTTCAGATGATATCACTAGTATGATATGTGTTGGATTACAGCCCTGCCTTCCACAGCAAGGCAATTTTAGTAAAGAACTTGCACCTATGATGTAGGTAGAAGGTAACAGTAAAAGCTTTAACTTGGAGAATTAGGGAAAAGATTATTTGAGTAAGAAGCAGACTCAACATCATGTGAATATTTATGTGTACCTTAGCCTAAAATACTCTAAATAATTCAGAATGGAGAAAGTATTGTTAATTTCATCTTAAACATTACTGTTTATTCCTACAAAGAAGTACAGTTTTGCAAATATTAATTACTTTTAAAAGCAGTCCAAATATCATGAGAACTACAAGTGAAATAGTCCAGGTTCTTAAGTGGTGTAGTTTTACATAAATCTGTACAATTTTGTGCACCACTAACCCCACTGGTAATCTTATGTGTCCTGGCTTGCTTTCAGAAAAATAATTTTCTCACCCTAGAAGGTCTCTCCAATAGCTGCTTTCTGATCTTCTGCACTCAAGTGGGCCAAATAATGCAATGTGTTGGAAACTTGTAGATGCAATTAAGAGGAACCAGTAAATCATTAATTTTTTTTACTGAGTCCTTTAGCAGTCAAAGGTTTTTACTAAGAGCTATGGATTTAATACTGTTGTCCAGTTTCTGAATTGCAATGGAAAAAATTGAATATTAAGGTACAACAACACATTTTGTTGATGATTCTATGTCTGAATTTTAATGTTCTACTCATACTTTAGAAAAAATGTGTAAGAAACAGTAAGTCCCCACCAAATAAATGTGATGAGATTAACAACCCAAAAAATACCATGGTAAGAGGCAGAAAAAATTAACTGTATTTTAATACAGTCAATATTTGCATTAAATCTCTTATAACTGAGGGTATGTATCTTTGAGGTTGACTTTATTATTTCGATTATATATATTTAGTCATCTTAATATGCAAAATCGAAGTACTTTATCTGATGGTACAGCTACTGGAGCTGCATGTTCTGGACTACTCATTGCTGGGATGCTTCCTACAGTTCAGGCAGTGAAAATTGTGAAATATCTGCCCCATCAATACACATCCTTGTTTGCCTTGACAAACTCAGTGGGACTCAACAGTTCACTAAATGCCACTTCTTAACCAGCAGAGGAGATGTTTCGCTTCACATTTTGCCTGGAATAATTTATCCAAATTTTCTCAAGTATTAAGTAAACCATATTTTTAAAAATGTATTATAAAACAAATATCTTTCCTATTTTAAAATTTGTTTTGCGTACTACAGCCTGTTATTTGAAGAGATCCTTAGCCCAGATCTGGTCTATAGTTGTAGGTGAGTGGAGATGAGGGGCTGAAGAGATACTTTGCTCCGTGCTGGCTGTTCTGCCTGACACAAAATTCTGCCATCCATCTACAAAATTCTGGATACAATGCTATAGATGCCGATTTCTAAATCAGACCATTTCTTTCTCATTAGGAAGTTTTTGAAATGTGCTTAAAGAAGGGATGGATCAAAAGCTTCATAGTTTTTCTTATATGAATGTTTTAAATGTTTGCCCACAGGAATGCAGGTAGGTTTTATTGTTCTCAGCAAAATAGCTGAAAATTCTGGAATTGTTGATCTTGTATTGTCACAGCTTTCCTAATTTTGTGCTTCTCTTTCTCTTGCACACAGACATGTATGCACATATATGTATCATGCAGATAGCAATTGTGAGCTGGAAATTATATGAAAAAAATCTGGAAATGTTATGGAATCCCATTACTTGTTGCCAATTTTGTTTTAATTTTATTATGACCCACTCTAATACCATTTTAACCTTTCTGAAAGTATGGTCATGATTACTTTGAAAACTTTAGTATTGACTAATGATTATCTGAATGGCATCAGATACCAAGTTCTGACCAAAGAATGAAACATGGAGAAGTGACACAAGTAAAAGACTTAATTCTGAAGTCATCACATTGTAGACTGTTAAGACCTGTGTGGCTGAACTAGCTGTGGATTTGCTGGCATATCCTCCTTACTTAGAAGCCAGAACACCAAACTGGTCACTTATCAACCTAAACAGGAATCTCATTTGTTTTGGAGAGCTTCGCAGGCCTTTTTGAGGGATGTTTCTGAGCACAGTCTCCAGATCTGTGCTACTGCATGAAGTGAAATATTTAAAGTAAACTAAAGAAAATGGTTTTAACATTATTCTCATAATTCATCAATTTGCAATCTAACTATGATTCAGTTATAGGATCCTTAAAGCACTTCACAAAGAAGACAGAAAAGAAGGCACAACATGCTTTGCTAGTTTGTGCTATGCACAAACTATTCTTGATCTTTAATTGCAATGTTAATGAATTTGGGAATGGAACAAAAAAGGAAAACAAGGGAAAATACTCATCTTTGAGCCGGCTCAAGGGATAGTCTTAGCCTGCCATAAATGTGCTAGTGTTTCACAGAATTTATACTGGGCATTAAATGAAATATTGTGAGTAACACAGCTGTTTGACAAATTACTACTTTCCTCTTAAATGTTCAAATCTGAATAATACATGAAAATTCCCGAGTCTCTCCAAAACTCAACTTTAATATCTTTGCAGCTTCTTGAAAGAAAAGAGTTAGACAGCTCTGACTGATTTTAGTTCTGAGGCAGCAACAGAGGCAGAGAAGAAGAAATGCAGGGATTGCTGTCTTCAGTCTGGGGGGGCACCTGGCACAGCCTTGTGCTCTTGGCTTGAGGACCTTCTGTTGCTGTGTCTGGGCAGCTGCAGAGCACATGCCCAGGGCCTTAGGTTCTGTCTGCTGCCCAGACAGAACAAGGTGCTACAGACCTTAAATACAGTTTCTTCTACACTCCTGTCTTTCCTAAAGGCCATCCAAGAGGGAAGATAATAACATTTCTACCTTTCTTTGTGCTACCTTAATTTCTGTACAGCTTGCCTACAGCAGCATCTTGTTCAGGTGGGACAGGCTATTGACACATTTTTTTGATTGTATTCTCTTTCTGCATCAAAATATGGATTTATGATGAAATTTTCTTTGTGGGAACAACATAAAGATCATTAATGTTATTAAAGAAAAGTTTTTATGATCAGTCCTTGCTTCCTTTCTTGAATTCTTAAGACTTAAATTTCCAACAATGTTTCCTATGTTTGCTTCTATCACTATTTCCCTTCAGTGTGCGCCTTTTGTCACATCATTTGTTACAGACTTTTCTCTCCCTCTCTCTCTTTTTAAAACCATCCCTTCACTTTCCTCCTTTTTGTCTCCCAGATCATGAGTATCACAGTCCCTGGACAGGTTTGCTGGGTTGACAGCTCTGAATATATTACACAACATATTTGTCTTTTCTAAAGCACTGATGCAAGCTTTGCCCTGACTTCTGCTGCAGTGAATTTTCCATACTGTTTGTCTGTGGTTTTTGTTACTAGCACCACTGAATTTTTGACCTTGGATTCCATCCATTGCTCATAATTTTGAGAGCATGCAGGTCTCATGGCTAAAGAAATTATTCTTGTCTGGTTTTTTCTCTAATGCATTTGTAGCCTTGGTGCTTCCTATTTAGTAAAGAATATTACTTGAACTCATGAATGATGAAGATTTCAGCACACATGCTAACAGAATATTCTGTCTGTGCATAAGTGAGTAAAAACCCAGCATAGTGAAACCCATGTTTTCAGTAATGATGTTTATAGGTAGCTCCAACATATGCAGTGGCTGTCTATATATAGACACTGAACAGCACATTGAAATGCCATGAAAAAATTGGAAGGTTTCATCTCACTGCATAAATAAGTACAGTAAATCCAGGCCAAGCAGAAGCGATTTCTTGTCAAATGCAGAATTAGTTCCTGTGAATACTATGAGGACCCTGTAACTAACATGCATTATTCTCTAAATCTGTGATAGTTTTATCAATAAATGGTAAAAACAATCTCAAAATATAAAAGAAATTGCAGTGAATGAAGCTTGTGTGTATGCCTGATGAGAATGTGAGCATCTGCACATACATATATAGCTAGAAAACCTCTGCAGTTGTGACAGTATTAGCAACATTTTCCCCACAATTTGTCAAATAGGCAGAAATGGAATTGAGGAATGCAAAAGACTTAGTCTCATTTGAATGTAAAGGTGTCAAATTCTTTTCAG